GCACCCCCGCATACTCCAACACGCGCCAATATGGCTGCTCGCGCCATTGAAGTGGCAGCGCCCAAAAAGAAAACAAACAAGTTCGGGCAAAGATATGTGGTCCGCCACTCTTCTACGAATAGAACCGCGCGACGCCCAATAACCTCGTGGGTCTTCCTCCTCCTCCTCCTCCTCCTCCCCCCCCTCCACCTCCTCCTCCCCGTCCTCCTCCGGCTTCTCCTCCTCCTCCTCCTCCTCCTCCTCCTCCCCCTCTTCCCCTCGCCGCATCAGTTCTTGCCCCGAACCGACCGATGCTCCCCACCACGCCCCAGGACCATGCCCCCGCCGCGCCTCCCACCACGCCCCGGCACGCCTGCCCCATGGAGCCTCTGTTTCAAAACCCCCCACCAAAAATTTCTGCCCAACACCCCGATGCCCCCCGCCATGCCCCCCCCGCCCCCCATCACGCCCCGGCACCCCCACCTCATGGAGACTCTGTTCTTGCGACCCCCCACCCCACCATTTCTCGCCCAAAACCGACCGATGCCCCCCGCCATGCCCCCCGCTATGCCCTCCACCGCGCACCCCATCGCGCCCCCGCGCCCCCGCCCGCCCCGCTGGAGAGCCCTCCCCACCCCCCCTGCGCACCTCCCCTGCAGAGACCCCCCCCACCCCCCCCCCCACCTGCAGAGCGGACCTCCTCTCTGCAGCCCCCCCCCCCGCCCGCTGCAGAGCGGACCCGCCCCCCCTGCGCCCCCCCCTCCCACCTTCTGCAGAGCAGGCCCGCCCTCCTGCAGCCCCCCCTCCTCCAGAGCGGACCCTCCCCCCCTGCAGAGCGGGGCGCCCGCCTTCCCTGCAGCCCAGCCCCCCCCGATGCAGAGCGGACCCCGCTCCGCGCAGCACCCCCCCTGCAGAGCGGACGCTCGCGGCCGCCCAAGGCTGCCGGGTGAGCCATGACAAGGGGAAAATCCCCTCCCTCCTCCGCCAGCCCTCAATCCCTTCTCCTTGCAGATAACCTCTCGTTGTCGCACCGCGAGACGTGTGCTCGAGGCGGGCCGCGCATTTCGTCGGAGACCTCCTACCCATTTATGATTTTGAAGCTTACAGGTTTGCAACAGCTGCACGGATGGAGGGCGGCCCGGCAGACGACCCCAGCGTTTCGCCTGAGACATCATCGCCATTTCTGACCCTCAACTTAACAGTGTGCCACAGTTCCACTGATGGAAAGCGGTCCATTTTCAAAATGGGGCTCTCGCCCTGGCGCCGCGCACATTCGCCTCCGCGCCGCGCGCATTTTCAAATGGGGCTCCCACCATCACCAGAATCATCATGGTCATCACCATCATCGTCATCAACACCACAACCAACAACATCATCATCGTCTCCCATCATCAACATAATCGTCGTCATCGTCATCGTCATACTCGTCAACAAGTTCCACAATACCCTCATCATCAACACCATCACCAGCACCATCATGAGCATCGTCATCACCATCATCGCCGTCATCGTCACCCTCGTCATAACCATCGTCGTCGTCATCGTCTTCGTCAACATCATCTTCATCATCATCCTGATCATCATCTTGCGGAGCGCCCCGGATCGGCGGCACTGGCCGGAGGCCACTACAATATCACTTTCGGCGTCTTCTGCAAAATGGTTTCCCCTCCCCGGGAAACGCGACCCGCTCCTTCGTCGCCGTCGCACACCCATGAGTGCACGGTCCCCACGCGTCCGCGGAGCAAGTACCTGTCCTCGCTGCGATCTATGTGATCGGTGAGGGCCACGGGCATTCCCTCCGCAATAGGCAAAAACCCATGCAGGTCCCCGCTCTCCTTGTCGTGGCGCTGCAGCCAGGCCATTTTTTGGCGTGGCAAATCCGGCCGCTCGTGCAGCGCGTCCGGCGTGGGGGTGTCGCGCGCAGGGGTGTGCACCATCGGCTTCTCGTGCAGTCGGGCGTACTGCGACGCTCGGAGTTTGTTTACCTCATACTTCACGTCGTTGTTCGGGAACACCCTGGGGGCGCACCGAAACTTCGCCGTGTGCATGCGCGGGTCATCTGCGCCCGCGATGACGAGACGGCGCCGTTCGCGCTCATGCCTGCACTCCCCACATTCCTGTCTGCGAATATCCTTGGGGGTCACTGATCGCTGACGGTGTGCTCCGACGGCTTCCTTCTGCGAGACCCCTGCGCCGTCGCCCAAGGCCCGACATCTCGCGCTCCCACATCCAACCTGACCCTGGAGCCAACTCCCCGGGGCACCAATATCACGCCCGTGCAAAAAGGCATGCGTGTCTTCCGTGAGGGCTCCTCTGCGGAACTCCTCTTGCGCGGATTTCAGCCAGGCATCGTCGCAGCGCTTGCGCTCCGCGAGCTCCGTCACTCCCTGCGCGCCTCCCTGGCCGCCCCCCCCCATATGAGAGCTTGTCCATGTAGCGCTGGCGGGGGCGAGGTGTGCTTCCGAGCCTTCGCGATGCGGTCGGTTGGCACGTCTGCGAGGGACCCTCCGTCCGGAGGCGCCAGCTGCCAAACATCTCCGCTCAGCGCGACGTTCAGGCCGCCGAAGGGCAGCGGCGCTCCGTCTTCCCCGCGCTTCTGGGTGCCCACGCCCCGAATAACGCTGCGAAGCTTCTGGGCTACTTCGGCGAACAGCCGGGCGCTGACCACGCTGATCTCGTCGATGAACAACCGCCTCCACTGCAGAACTCGCTTCGCTGTATCGTACTGATGTCGCGCATCTTCCCCCTTCTCGTCGCCGCGCCTCGCGGCGGGAATGCCGCAGGCGTGATGCATGGTGTCTCCGCCGAGCAGCTGCGCCGTGACTGCCTGGAAGTCCGTGATCTGAAAATGGACGCGAATCGTCAATTTCATTAGGTCTTCGAACAGCTCCTTCCGCAAAATACGCAACACGTGTGATTTCCCTGTGCCGGGCCCTCCGTGCACACACCAACGCAGCGGGTCACCCGTGCCCACGCCCCCTCGCGCCTCCCCGTCCAGCTCTTGCATCCCCCTCTCTGCTACCTGCTTCGCCATTTCGAACTGCTTCGCGTTGACAGCGCGCCGGCCTGTGTCTTTGTCAGTCCTGAACTCCAGCTCTCTGAGCCACTCTGCCACCTGACCTGATGTCGCCCCTGCCTGCGCCTCCACCTTCCCGCTACCTTCCTCCGCCGCCACTCTGTCGGCCATTGGTTTCTCCTTGTTGCGCGACGCCCTTGCTGCGGCCTGCGCGGCTTCCAGATCACAGCTGGCGGCTTTCGGCCACGCGCTTCGGACCTCACTGAGCAACTTTTCACTCGGGCGCTGGCCCCACCCTTCCTGGGCCACGGCCATGCCTGCTTTTGAATTCTCGTAATGGGAACATCCACCCCGACCACCCTCCGGCCCCCCGTCTTCTTCTCCACTACTGCTGTCACCGTCGCCGTCGTCCCGCTTCCGACCGCCGACGCGTGACTTCAGAGCCTCGTCCAGCTGGTCGAATCCAACCTCCAATTCTGCGTCGCTCACGTCCTCATCACTCCGTGCGTCCTCATGCTCCGCATCCCTCGGACGCACGCGATACACGCTCAGGAAAATGCCCGCGTACCGCGCAGCCTCTTCCGACTGCACTCCGCCGTCCAACCGCGACACCATGGCGCCCACCCACGTTTTCGAGCCCCGCCGCAGTGCGCCTGCGAACACCACCTGGTCGTCTGCCTCTGACTGTCGCAGCGCCAACGGGTGGAAGTAGGATATAACAATCCGCGCGGATCGCTCAGATTCTCCATTTCGGCTGCGAGGCACCAGAGCCCCGAAAAATGTTGGCGCCAAAGGCCTCTTGTTCCTGACAAGCACCCACGTGTGCCGCAGATGCCGGCCGGCATCCGTCAGTGTCTAGAAAGGCTACCCAATCCTTTCCTGCGTCGCCCTTCACCATGTAGTCCACCCCAGGCACTAGCTCTTCCGCCTGCTCCTGATTCCGACCCCACTCCTTCACTTTCTGCTCCCCTTCCGCTGTCAAGACCGCGTGTTGCCTGTCCCGATCGGCTTTCGCGCCCCTGATACCAGTAGGGTACGCCGCGAGCACCGGCCTCAAATGCGTGGCGAACTCGCACGGCGACCAGTGCCACAAGCCGTCCCGCTTCGGGCGAAGTCCGTACAACATGGCCACGTCCCTGATAGTGACTTTCCGGCGCCTCGGGTTTCGAATGTCCACCTCCGCGAACTGCGCTTTGCGCCCTCCGGTTGTGCCGTCGGACAGCCCCTCAACCGCCTCGACGAATTCTCGTCCGTAGAAACTGGTCGTCTCAAAGGTCTTGATCGACTCTGCCGAAGTCACATCGTTATCCGTGGGATACGCTCGGAGATTCGCGCGCTCCACCTGGCCGCGAACGATGCCCTTCCTGTAGGCGTCGCTCATGATGCGCGTCGTCATCCGCTTACCGACGTAGTTCGCGTTCTCCCCGCGCAGCTGCCGGCTGAGCTGCTCGATCCCTTTGGCGCGCTCGCGGACTTCGTGGAAGTCCATGGACTGCCGTTTCGTGCAGTAATCACACGCGTACCCTGGCTGGGCGTCCTGAGCCATCTGGACCACCTTGATGATAGCTGCGTCTTTTTGTTTCTCCACGCACCCTTTGCCGCGCGTGCAGATCTCGCTTGTGATCGGCAACCTGTGCGGCAGCTGCGCGGCCTCCGCTCCTGCCAGATTCTTATTCAGGCCGTCTGGGGTGACGCGCGCTGAGTATTCCTGACGGCAAACACGGCGCTTGTACTCCAACGACTCTTCTACAAACGCCCGCCCCCATCCGTCCGCATTTTTCCAGAGGAGTTCGAAGATTTTGTCCAGCGGCGTGTGCTGGTGCAGACGCTGTGCGAACACCTAGCAGTGCGCATGGAGCGCACCCGTCGACTTCTGCGCTTCGATGGAGACATAGCACGCGTCCACCCTGCCGAATATATCCTGGCACGGCGACATTTGCTCACTATGGTTGCATCCTTGGCAATTCGGACAAGTGCGCAATCCGAAAAGATGCCGCATCGTCGCGTCCACAATCGCACGGAAGCCTTCCACGCTTGCCATCGGATCCCGGGCGAGTGTCTTCCTGCGCTCCGCCCAGGAAGGCGCTTGCGGCAAGATCGCCGCCGGCGGTAGTTCCAAGCGCACATCGTCAGTCTCTGGAGCGACCTGCGGCCACTCCCGACCACCAACTGCCCGTGACGCAGCCGCGTCGCTCGCCGCATTGTGGACGGGGTCACGACGTCGCGTGCGCGACAACCGGACCATGATGAGATTGTGCCCTTCACCGGGAAAGAAAATCACGAACATCGGCACACCGTACCGTACGCGGACCGCGTAGGTTTGGAACCGCATGACCCGTCGTGTTTCCTGCGTCCCTGGAAGCCGCCGAGACGGGTGCTCGATGTTCGCGAGCAACTTGTGGGCAACTCTACCGAGTCCCGGGACGTAGCGCACTTTCGTCATGTCTCCCATCACTTTCTGCTTCTTACCGTTCCCGTCCTGGTATTGACCCGCCAATGCACGGTAGATCTGCTTCGCGCCTTCGCTGATCTCCTCGGGCGTGATCTGCGCGTCCACGTCTTTCGGGTTCGCGGATACGCACGTAAACCACGTCCTGCTCAGGTTCACCGCCGAACGAAATACCAAGTTCCACGACGCGAACCCGAAGTGCCAATCGCGCGACAACTGACTCTCTACGCGACGACTCAACATGCGAACCCACAGCGGCATCTCCACCCGTGGGGCCTCTTCAGAACGCCGGTACAGTGGGCGCTTCAAGAACGCCGGCATGTCGGGCATGCCTGTACAATACTTGGAAATGAACGCAAACGCAACGCCGAAATACCACGGTTCGAATTGATCCATCATTGTGTTCCCCGTACATACCCGCAAACGATCCACTCGTTCGTTCATCTCCAGCGCCTCCGTCACCAATCTCACCTCTTCCCTCTCTGTCGCCGGTGGGGCGTCGGGCTTCTTTTCGGGCCCGCGTGCGCGCGTGCGTTTCACTCTGGGATCTTCATTCTCCGACTCGCAATCGCTGTCCTGCGTGCGCTCGCTGGTTCCATCTTGCTCGCACTCTGGCGAAACCCTCTGTGCAAAACTTCGTAAGGCTTCCACGCGTTGGGCATTGATATCCCCGTCGTCGAAGCTGCTCTTCTCAAAGGCCACGGCGTTGCCTTTCGTCGCTCCCAGGATCTCCGCTTCTTCCTTCAGCCCGTCCGGGCGCGGAACTGGCGTCGCTGCTTTCTGCATCTGTATCTTGTCCAGCGCGTCGTCCAGAGGCGCCAGACACATGATCTCGGGCGGCACATCATGCTCAGGAAGCTCCGTAGCCTTCTTTCGCACCTCTTCCATGCACACGTGCTGATACGCTCGGTGCCCACGCATCTTCGCCCCCTCGATCAGCCTCACGACTACTTCCCGACGGACCAACGCCTGGTGTACAAACTTCGCCATGCTCTCTGCCGTATCGTCATCGCCTCCCGACTTCAAAATCACCGACACTATGTCTGCCAGTTCGACGCCAGTCCGTGGCAGCGACGGCGGCCTCTCCTTAGACGCGTTTTCCTCGAAGGCGGTCAGTTGCGCAAGCATGTCCGTCCACGGCATCGGGAAGGACGTCGCGTTCCCGCGAGCAGCCATCCGCCGTGCGTTGCTCCCCACCTCCATGTCAAACGACCGTTCGTTCCGATGCCGCTTCTCCAGTGTGAAGCACACCATCGACGTCACGCACACGGATGCACATATCATCTCGAGCAGCGTTGCATTTCCTGCGAACAGCTCTTCCGGCGAGTAGAACATCATCATGTCATTCGCTAGCGCTGCAGGTGGCACGGCCGCTTCTCCTCTCGGCCCAGTCATGCCCCTTCGTCATTCCGTGCGCAGCGGCGCCTCGCAACACTCGCGCACCTCATCACCTTCGTGCCAGCTTCAGCTTTCCGTGCTGCAGCGCACGTCTTCGGGGCAACACAGCACCTCTAGGGGCCCATCGACCGACTTTATCGTTGCTTGCCAATCTTCGAACTCATCCGCGTGGTCCCGCAGATGCACGTCGCTTCCGACCTGACCGTGCCGCTCCACATAACTGTCCACGGACATGTGCTTTTTGACGAACGAGCCAGGCAGTCCGAATATGCCCTCCGAATTCGGCGACACCTTCTGCCACGCGATTGGATTCCCCTAGCGACCTTCCACGTGAGGAAATTTCCGCGCGCACACCATGCACGCCAGAGAGCACGCATCGTCCTCCCCCAACCCTTCGGCATATTCACGGAGACATCGCCGGTCAATGGCAAGCGCGGCGAGAGGGGCTCCTTGACGTACTTCCATGCCAAGACTTCGTTGTACGCAGACAAGTAGCGCGACGCTTCGCTCTTCTCGTCTTCGGTAGAAAAAGCCAACCAGCGAGTTTGCGACGTCCTCCAGCTGCGCGCGGTGTTCCTGCAGCAGGCGGGCGCGCAAGTCTGCATCCGAAGCTCCATGCCAATGGCAAGACTCCCCGTCGTCCTCCGACCGACGTTTCAAAGCGCAGTGCTTCCTCGGCAACTCTACTGCTCCGACCGATTCCGGGCCTCCGCCACACAAGGCAGCTCCATTCGCCGAGACAGCGGGCAACGTGGGTGCGTCCTTCACGTGCTCTGTCGCGACCCTTTCCAAAACCTGCCCCCTTTCCCGTCGCGGGTCGTCAAACACGTTTGCAGCGCGAACCCGATGCACGTGGCCTGGCGCGTCTGGCTTACCTTCGCCATCGCCCTCTTGTGGAGCACCCGTGCCCGACGTGGCGTGCGCGGCCACCGGTGTGCCACCCGTGCCGGTCGGGCCATCGGCTCCCCGCGCCGCGGCGTCACCGGGCCTCGTCTTCTCTGAGATCCGCGGTCGCTTCGCCCTCGTGCCGCTCTCGGTGCCCTCGGTGTGCGTCACGCAGACCCCCCCCCGTTGCGGGTCTTGGGAAACGACGTGCCAGGCGCGGCCATCTGCGCCTCCTCCCCCACGCTTCGCCACGCTGGTCTGTGCGTCGGGCGCGCAATGTCCGCCCCGGTGTGATTGTATACCTCGAGTGCGACGACCTTCGCCTCAGCACGCACCTCCTCCACGCACGGCCACATGCCGAGAGCGGGCCCTTCCCCCTCGAGCTCTGCTCGGGTGAACGACACAGACCCTCCCAAGCCGTTCGCCCTAAGGAGCCCGTCAAAACGGGAGTACGTCCGGAAGATGACCTGGTCGGGCAGCTCTACCCCTGCCGTGCCATATCGAGACAATGCGAATCGCATGATCTCGCCAGCATGGACACCGTGTCGGAGCTCACCCTCGTGCGACTCCAACGCCATCCATGCATCTCCGACGGCCCGCAGATGATCCATGAACGCTTCGCAGGCGACACGGCGCCCCTCCTCTGACGCCAGCTCCTGATCACACCATCCCAAACGGACCAAGAGCTGCAAGGTACAGTCTGCCAGGGAAGCGCCAATTCCATGTCCGAGACCGCAGCCCACGCGGCGGCCTGATCGTGCCATTGCTTCCGCTCGCTCGTCGTCGGTCTTCGCCTCGAACACCAACGCCCCCATCAAGAACAACGTGAATTTTACCGTGCGGTCTTCGACCGCGCGGCGCCGATCCTCCATACCTTGAGCGGCCAGCAACTCACTCCGCGCAACGTCCCACCCTCGCCACTCGCGTGCCCATTTCTCTCTCATGACACGCAACAGCGGCTTTGTGTCACCCCGCGCTCTCCACAGAGGCGCGCGCAGCTCAGTTGGCACGAAGTCCAGACCCGGAAACATCCACGCTTCGGGCTCTTCACTCGCACGCCGCAGGAGACGTAAGGCGCGCCCATCCGCTTCTCGGATGACGCGCCCCGGAGCCAGGAGATCACCGGGAAGGATATGCACTGCTGGCTCACGCCCCGGCTTTGCGGCCGCGCCCTCCATGATGGGCCTTTGCGCGTTGTCGCCCACTGCAGCTCCAGCTGCGTTGACGCCGTCTCCTGCACGCCGACCGCCGCACTCGACCCCATCGCTGAATTGTCCCCCCTTCCACGCAGCCACGAGCCACTTCGACCCCGCCCGACTACTATCCCCGACGCTGCTCGCGCTGCCGCCGTGCCGCCCACGTGCCCCCATCCCGTTCGCATCCATGCGCGGCGGGGACGGCGTCTGTCTAGGGGATTTCGGTGCACCTGGGTCCAAAATTAAGCCTCCACGCGCGGCCGCACCGTCTTCCCAAGTGCCGCGTCGTGTGCTCGATGTCTCCTCCCTCGATGGCAGTGCCTGAGATGTGGTTTGCACCGTGTCAGATGCATCGCGCCATCCGGTCTTGTTCTTCAAGGCATCCGCATTCGTGCGCAGAGTTGGCGTAACCGGCGACGGGGGCGCAACGCCCGACACGCGTGCCAAGCGTTCGTAATGTCCTCGCACAGCGCTCCTCCCCAGCGCAGCGTTAACACTGATGACAATGATATCCGCCCAGGGGCCCGCAGGTAAGACATACTTGTGCAGCCGAAAAGCTGCGCGACAATGCACGCTCTCCTTCCGAACCTCCCGCGCTATTACTGCGCTCAGACTTGCGCACTCGCGCAACAGCAACAGCGCCGAATCACTCGAGTAATATCCATCTGAACATAAGGCCTCCAAATAACAGGGGTGCACAAGAGCGAAAAGTTTTCGAATGGCTCTTGCACCGAAGCGGACTCCCCAGCGTCGACGGTGGGAGCGCGCGCGTTGGCCGCCTTCACCACCTCGACTAATTCACCAACTCCAGCGCTCAGCGCTCTTTCCACATCTGAGTCCTGCATCTCTGCCACCGTGTTATTGACGTGCCTCAGAAAAACGTCCAGGTTGTTCATGCCGAAGTATTCCACGATGCCGCGGCAATAATGCTGTCCAGGATCTGTGTCTGTGCTGACAACGTCGAGCTTCCAATGCCCGTCTTCGTCAAAGCACTCGTAGTCGCCGAGGATATCCATGTGCGTCAGCAGCGGGCGAAGGAAAAGCTCTTCCATGTCGCACCCGCAAACATGTCTCAGCGCATTTGCAACGTCGCGGCGTTTCCGCTCAAACTCTGCCAACGTGGCATCCTCTTGCTTCACGGCGCCGCAACAGGCATTCAAGACACGTTTCTGCCCTTTCACCTTCTGCCGCTCTCTCTTTTCTTCGGCCAGCATGCCCAGAGCCCGATCATTGCGATCAACATACTGTTGCGCCTGCAGCTTGATCACATGCTTCCACGCCGAGTTCATCAGATCATCCAGCACATCAGAATTGCGGCACTTTCGTCGCACTTCCTCTGCAGTCTCGCCGAGCGTCCGTCGTAAGAAACCTTTGGCATCGGCGTGCCGCGGGCCATCTGCGCCGGGCTTGCCGCAGGTGGGAAGCTTTCGATGCCGACGATGTCCCAGTGCCCGCGCACTATCGGCACAGTCCGGCCCGTCACCCATGATGAGAGGGCTCCCGTCATACTGCAGCCTACCACTCGCGCTCGTGCTACTGCTTGTCGCCGGCGCCACCTTTTGGCCGCCACGGCTGGCGCCAGCCGCGTGACGTTGCCAGAGGGCCTGCACTGGATCTCCCTCCACCCCGTTCAACGAACCGTGCCCGCGTGCGACGCGAACTACATGTCCTTCGGACAACCAAACGGCCGACCCGACGCGGCGGCCATCCGCTTCTCCCAGCCGCCACCTCCTCAGGGCTCCCTCCTCCAAGAGATCCGCGACGTGTCCAGCCTCGTACACCCATGGAAAGCTTTTTGCTGGCAGAGCCACCGCTTGACGGCGTCCACGTTCTGTGCGCCCACCGGGCCCGACGCGCCCGCCCCCGACCATGCATGATTGGCGCACTCTCTCGCAAAACGCCGCAACGCTTCTCGACGCCAACGACCGCGCTGCATGCGCGCTACCGCATCTTGCAAGCACTTGTTCTCCCAGGGCCCCACGGTTGCTTCATCTTCCGCCAGGGTCGCCACAGAGGTCGTCGGTGCGCACGTGGCGTATACCGTCCACGCGACAACCGCCAAGAGCATTCCATCACCAATGGTCTCGAAGGGCACGCCGCTGCTCCTCGCGCATGTCGCGACGCCCTCGCTGCGCGCGTCGTTGCCCCCACCCTGCCGGGGCACCTTTCTGTTCGCGCCGCTCCCTGGCGAAAGACGCACGCGCGCTGCGCGGGCGCGCCCCGCGCGGCGTGCTTCGCGGCCCGACGCCCGCGTCGCGATGCGCCGCAACCCTGTCGGATTCGAAGCATGCCCGAGCCCCGCAAAAAGGATTGTGCGCAACGCGTCGAAGAACGAGGCGTCGACGACGTGTGCCGTCTGCCGTCCTGCCGAAATGTGCCGACGTGGTGAGTTCATCGCCGCCGTGCACGTGCTTCGCTTCCGGACATCGCCCGTCCGCCCTGCGGGGCTCCCCAATTCGCAGGCGCTGCCTCGTAAAGCACCAATCGGTTGCCGGTGCCACCTGGGGTGCATGATTCGCTGCGTTCTGCATTTCCCACACTGCAAGCACGGCGTCCAGAATCGCCCCCCTCATTACCTCCGCATATGAGGGGAAGGAGGAGGACGACGACGGTAAAAGAGAGGGGGGGGGCTGAGAGGGGGGGGGAGGAGGAAGAGAGCAGGAGGAGAAGGACTGACTGGCTGACTGCCTATGAATCGGACCCAATGTGTGGGTACCCCACAGAGCTGGGCCTCTCACTCGTGCCGAAGGGGCGCACGCGTCAAAAAACGCACTGGGTCTATGAGCAATCGACTCCCGCGCCCGTCGGGCTGGCGGAGGCGGAGCGCCTCCTCCTCCTACTCCTCTTCCCCCCCCCCCAAGAAACCAAGGCTTGGTATAGTTTTGAGGGTTGAGGGGTTC